ATTTAACTCAGTTTTGTGAAGGAAGGGGCTCCACCCTACTATATATAACTTATTGTAAGTGAAGCTTTTCATTGAAGTTCTTTTATTTATCATTCGTCATCCTATTCCTTCTAATCGTGTCTACATGAAAAATTAATATGTTTTATTGCCTGTAAAATATTTTGTACGCATACCTCGTACGTTATGTAATATATATAAGAAAAAAAAAACACAATATAGTTCCTTATTTTCGACGGTTACTGAAACCATCGCTATCCAATACAAACCATTGACCGAGGTGGGAAGAATGCCGTCGAAGTAGAGATGATAGAGATCATTTAAAGATCACCCGAGGTGGGAAGGATGTCGTCAAAGCTCCACAGCATCTCCATGTCTGCTGAGGTCGGCGGATTACATGCCCCCATTCCATCTACCGCAGCCTCTCCTCCGCCTTCCATGTACGGGATTCCAAAGAAGTTCATGTACGACTCGTAAGCCATTAGCTCCTCCGACAGCCTCCGCACCTCGGCATCCCCGTTGGCCGGGGCCTCTTCCAGCTTGGGTTCGACAATAGCGGGGACGTGCTGGAATGGCGCGTGCTGGTCGACCTCGCCGGGCTGCAGCTCGTTGGGGAAGTTGACCTTGGCCTTCTTGCCGCGGATGCGGCGGGCCTCGCGATCGTAGGCGCGGGCGGCCTCCTCGGCGGTGGCGAAGGTGCCGAGCCAGACGCGGACGCCCTTGACCGGGTCGCGGATCTCAGCCGCCCACTTCCCCCACGGCCGCTGCCGTATCCCCCTGTACAGGTTCTTCCGCTCCCGCTTCCGAGGCGCTATACCACGAGAAGAAGAACAACCCATCAAGATTCCAACTTTGGATCCAAAGCAAGGCCAGAGACAAACCGTAACACAACACAGAACGAATGAGAAACCTTTATCCTGGGTGGGGACATGTTGGGGGTCGTCGAAGGAGCCCGGCCAGAGGTCTGTAGCGGATAGGAGGTTGTCGGAGTCGGAACTGGGGTTGGGGCGGCTGCGGCGGTGTTGGCTGCAGGGAGGGATGAAGTCGGAGATGATGGCGCCGCCACACATCTTTCCCTTCCGCTACTGCTTTTGGAAGATTATAGTCCGAGACGACGTATGAGTTCTGGGAGATCTGACGTAAACAAAAGAGAGAAGAGATGGTGGTGGAAATGACGAAAGATGAAGGAGGAGGTCTGCTATATATATAGAGGTACTTGCACCACATAAGAAGCACAAGTGACCAATTGATAATGGAGGAGTCACTTTCCACCAAGTTATCTTTCCTGTAGAGTTTGGTTTGACCAGTGCGTGTCTCCTCATCTTTCATTCTCATCTTATTTAGGTTGTGGAACACGATCCGGTTGGACTTCCATGTTGCGAGTGTTTGGATGTACATAATTATCATTATGTTCATCACTCTTGTCTCTCCTCCATGTTCACCCGACAAGCCGCCAAACTAGAACAGCTGCTCTATATATATAGCTCAGAAGTCTAACATGTTTGCCGACGACTAGCCCACCAATTCCAGTCTCACCAATTCCCTACAGCAGACGGGTCAAAAATTTTCCATCCATCATGACCAGCCAGCCGCCATTAGACAGTAAGTTGACGTGTTGATCACTAAAGCTAATAAAGACTATCATACAATCTTGTTGAGTTGTCAGCTAGCGTCCATAGATCGACTTTGAATGACGACTCCCACCGGCATTTCACATAATGCTTTCTGTGAAACGATCTATTTTGATATTTTGGCGAGAACAACAGCACCGAACGAGCGACGCGTTGGATTACCGCCGCTGTTTCCGCACGGGTAGCTGACAAAGTTGGCTTTGTCTTCTCGGATCGGAAGCATGAAGTCGAGAAAGGAGGAGAGGAGTCGTCGACCGAGCTCGGCATGTCGATGACCGACGTCCTCAGCGTGCGACATCATTCCATTTATTCCAAACCCAAATGACTTCAGTTAGTTCTACTTGACATCGCTCTCATTAGGATTTCCAAAGTCTATAATTATTTCTCTCACTAAGAACTAAATCGTGGAACATTTAAAATACGGTATTCTGTTCTAATGGATTGAATGAGCACTCAGAGTTAGGATAAATTACAAGTCAACTTTAGAGAGGGAATAAAAGAAAATCGAGAAAAATTATATCCATAATGCATCTTTTAGTTACTAAAATTTTAAATATATCGAGTGCTTAAATATTAGTGTTCGTCGTAAACTAATAAAAAAATATGTATTACGGTCATAGTCGATCACTTTATTTCATGCATTATCTAATCAATAATCATGCAACGCAACGCAACGTTTTTCTCATTAATTGACTTAGCACGGTGCACATGAATTTAGTTGAACATCTCAAGTCTAATTTGACTTGTATGCGAGAAATGATATTAAGGTCTATTAATACATTCCATTTTCTTAAAAGGTTAAACTTTTGATATTTTTGGTAATTAAAAGAAATATTCATGGAAAATGGTATCATTTTACCTCATAAATCTATTGCAGTTGATCACCAACACATTTGCTAATCACTTTCCCTATTCCAAAACAAGCCCAGATAAGCATTACCTCATCTGTGGGGATAGGGTGATTAATATGCACCAAAGTTTGGACTGAAAACATTAAAAGTGGCTTTAGAAATGTAGTTGGAAAATGTACTGTCATTAACCCTCGTAGGATCCAACCTTCCAAAATCAGTAGAAAAATATATAATTTAATTAAATATTTTTTTTTAATTTTTTCACAAAGGATAGTTAGTGAAGATGGGTTTTGATCTCAAGACATATAATATAAAAATATCTAATAAAATCTTCTCATCCTTTCTTAATTAATAAAATTTTGAAAGTCGTATGTATTGATGTGCCGATTATGCTAGATGGATATAGTAGATTTGCTTACACCAGATGATATGGTTTAAAAAGAGTCAAAATATTTTTATAAAAATTATTTTTGATTATATATATAT